GTTATTGATATTTTCCATCATTAAAGACTAATTATTTACTGTGCAAGTTGTGTTGCCTAAATTGGTCATTTTCAGTTCCTTTTTGTTCTATACAAATACCTTTTTTCTACAGTATTTGTTAGTTGCTAAAAAAATGTATTTTGAGATCTTTGTGATCAATTTCAATGCTTTTTTAAATAAATTGAATATTTCTAAAACCTGGAAGACATTTGTGGCAAGCTTTGACCCACAGGGGGTGCAAGACCGAGAAACTTTTAATGCAAATAAATTAAATGTAAGTTTTCTAACAGTAAAGCCTAGAATAAGTGTAACATAAAAAGCATTTTGTCAGGAATTAGTTTCAGTAACTGAAATTATCCCAATCTATAAAACAAAATTTACAGCAGCACACTTTGAACAGGATATCTGCCTCTTGTTATGCTGTATCATTAACAAGAAATAGAAAACTAAACCACAAAAGTGGACTTTAAATATTCATATTGCAATATTAAGTATACTGGACAAAATCTAGAACCACTAAAATAAATGAGTTACCCTCTCCAACTACTTTTTTACCATTTATATTTCAATCAAAATCAGTATTTTAAAGACTGTACTATATAAGCCTAATAAACTGAAATCACTGAAATACTGATGTTAGAAAACCAGTAAGTCACACTTTGATAATAAGACTTGAATGATTTTTGCATGGAAACAACGGATGCAGTTTTTCTTGAAACATTTTATTTATGTTTTTCTCATATAAATCTTTCTAAACTCAAATTTTTATTCTAGTTACAAATCTGCATTTTCTTTTTCTAATAAGCTTAAGTTACATCCATGTGCGATTTCTTTGTTTTACTGGTATTTTCTATTCTGACTGCTTTTAAAAACTTCATGAGAAGTTAAGATACTGTTATAAAAGTGCAAGTGAATTCTGTATTGGGTAGAATGCACATACCTGTCAGATGCTACAGTTACAAATAAAAACATTTAAATGTCTGTTAATTACTGTTCTTTGATCAGATATCATCTCTTAATACTGTCTTTGATGTCTACACACATTTGACAAGCAGGAGTCAAGACAGAAATGACTGCCTCAGTTCAGTAAACATATTTAAATACTTGCCATTCACATGAGTAATAGTTATGGTATACTAACTGTATGACTAAATGTATGGTATACATCTCAGAGCTAAAAATTAACACCAATAATGAAACAGAACCAAAACAACAATTACATGAGATGAAATTAATCAAATCCCACAGCCTTGTGTTTTGAAAACCATTTAAAATGTTTTTGTTCTGTTCTTTTTTACTGTGCAGTGTGAGCATAGCTATAACTAAAGTCTTCCAAATTCCAAGATGCCTAATCTCGCTGACCAGAGAGAAGGTATGTGAGAGCTGCTGAATGCACACATACTAAGATTTAAATAGAAATTTACTGTAAAGCAGATTCAAATACTTCATCGCATACATTACCAGAATAGTCAAAATAAAATCAACCAAAAGTTTGCCCTCACCTACACAAGTGCCACACTGACTAGAATAAGATTACATTAAAAAAAGGCATATTTTACCCTTAATGAAAGAAAACTGAGATATTCTTGCTAATAAAGCTAATAATATGAAGTTCATTTTTGCCTGACTACAATGTGATTTCAACAGCAAGAAAAGTTCAAATCCAGGAAAAAGTATGTGCTAACATATGCAACACTGATGTATAATCTTCCTGGCTAGTGAAATCCTGAAGAAGATCTATTAATGCTGTCTACAGACTGTTAGCATGTCCCACAGGACGAACTTTCAGCAAGGCATGAATCTGAACATGCTCAAGAAATCAGTACTTTACAGCAGAAATACAACTGTCATTTAAACCAACTTCTTTTTTTTATGAAGGATTGTTTTAAAAAATGGTAATAGGGAAAACTAGTAGATGCCTACATTGCTTTGGTGTCCTGTTAATCAAGCCTCTATTCCAAATCCATCCTGTTCTACTGATGTTGTAGTCAAGAGACAGCAAAATGATTAGGAGGTTCTCTTAATCACGTTTAACTTCAGAACTTCAGAAAGAATTCTGATTATCTAACAGGTAACAGAAATAATGATGGGTAATCACTATTTTCCCCTGCAGAAACCTCAGCTGTGAAACCACACAATAATCATTACCTTTCTAACACTTATGCAAGACAGTAAAGTTGGTAATGGGAAATTCAGCTGTCATCAAAATGCAGCCAACAATGAGCATTATGACAGATTCCCAAAAGGCATACTCCAGCCTTTCAACCAGAGCAAGACTGCATGTCAACAAAATTTCGGATATTTGCTATAGCAGAATGGAAGAATATTAGTCAAGAGAAAATATTAAGCATGTTAAGCACATAAGCACATACTGCTTAACATCTTGGTTCTCCTACAAACCTAGCAACTATGGATGCTACCTATACACATTTCCTTCCCTATGAGGCTGCTTCAGTTAACACTAATCATTTGTCCCATCACAGCCTGGTTTAAGATTAATTTACTGAAAAATGAAGGTTCATACACTGCATTTAGCTTAATATATTACATTCGTTATGATAAGTTGTCTGCTTTTGCATTTCTGCTTTTTACCATGTCTTCTCCACTAGCATTGGTAAGTATCTGACTGAGCTTGTGACAGATCACATAAATGTTCAACAGATATATTTCTGCAGAAGATAAGACTGAACCTACGTTCACTAACAAAACAGCAAATTCTCTGAAGAGTCATGACAAGTACACTTCTTCAAATACACTGGGAACAGGGAGAGTGCCACAGACTTTAAAAGGCTGAGATAGGATCAAAATGGAAACATAGCAGAAGGCCAACAGAAGGCCACAGGAAAGTAATTATTTGCACCCATGTTCACCATTAAGTAATTTAGGACTGCTTCATATTTGGATCCTAATTTATATGGAGCACACTGGTTAATGTACTTCAAGATCAGACTCCACTAGAAGGAGACATAGAATAGATCAACAAAAGAAATCGTAACAATTCACCCACACTGGTTGTGATTCATTTAAAACATCCAAAGGAAATAAAGTATAAAATTGAATCACGAATTTTAAATTGTCACTAGTTTCTAAAATAGTCTTACTTTCAACCTCAGAAATTTCCTAAAGTTCTTCTAAGAAGTAAACAAAATTGATTCTAGTGAAATCGTCTACTTGGATTTGAAACGTATTTCAGCAAAGCTCCACACTAGGAGCTCTTAAAGAAACCCAACTGCTGTATTTTAAGGGGAGAAAAAAATCTTACAGTTAAAGAATTGCTTTAATTACGAGAAATAAATGATAACAATAAATGCTTAATTTACTCAGTGAGAAAGAGTCACCGGTGGTGTCCCACATGTTCAAAAAATATAGAAAAGTAGGAGGTCAGTGTAGTAACAAAATTTTCTAATACTTCTAAGCTATTCAGGATAATAAAGACAAAAGCCAATGCCAAATATTTGCACCAGATCCACATGGGATACAGCATGACGGTAAATAAACTGTCACACAATATGCAGGTTAGACAATATAGGTGTTCTACATGGAGGAAAGCATTCTAAAATCACTTCACAAAGACAACAAAGGCCTCCTTAACCTCAGGAAATATAACCCATAGATATAATAAAAGCTTTTATGATTAAAAAATTGCATAGTCTGACAAAATAAACTGCAAAAAACTCTTCAGAGCAATACAAGATGATGAAAGCAGAATGATGTATCCAGAAATACAATCTGAGCATTCAAAAACCATGATCCAAAGCTGTGTTTAGAGCAGAAACAGCTTGAGACTAATTTTATATTTATAACTTGTAAAAAAATCCACCAAAGCCTTCTAAAAGAAAAAACCCAATTATTTCTAAGATTCAGAAAAAGGTCAAGAATGTATCAAGAGGTAAACACCCCACAAGAAAGACTTAAAAGAATGTGTTTTATCATTTGTGAAACAAAATTATGAAATCATTAGATTAAGGGGAACTTTAAAAACCATACAAAATACAGATTAAGAATCTTATGATAAACACTTAAGTAAGAATCTGGATAAAGTTAGAACATTAACTCTGCAATGACCATCATCAACACATCCAGGAGATACTGCATTCTGTGATTTTTCTGTTTTACAGCAGATTACTACTTAAACAAATTTCAAGGAATTAAACACCATGGGTTTTTTTTAATATTCAACCTCCTTTGGGCTCATGAATATAATCCTTGATTACAGATCTACCTTACCTACTCACGCTAAGTGAAGTTTTGCATTTAACGGGCATTATCACCTTAACTATTTTCCCTTCTCTGCTTAATCAAGGGAAAGAATGCTAGTAAAACTGAAATGCATAAGCACATCTCATTGACAAATCTATGGAAGAAACTAAGCAACAGATTTTACAAAACCATTGTGGGTAGATCATTTCACAGCCTTTCAAACTCACTTTAAGACATAAATTAGCCTTTGGAAAATATCAGGGGTATAAGTGTAAGGTCTGGCACACTTGTAAATTTGGAGGCCTGTTAGTGAGAGTTACGGTTTTATTATAAGAGTTCTAAATGGCAACATTAAAGCCAAATATTTCTCCCCACCATAATACTTTCTTTAGATCTATGATCTAAAGTTTAGTTGCGTGGTCAGGAACAATGAAACAAATCAGGACCAATACATTTCATTTCCACAGAGGAAATGCAGAAACGTCACAATTTTTTCTACGAATTTGTTTCCAGGAACAAAATCACTTTGGTTTTATTTTTACTTTCGGTGCCTTTGTTTAGAGAATATAAATAAGAGTCTTGCTGAATACTGATACCATTTCTCAGGTTTTTTGCCAGGAGAGATTTAATTGTGAAGTACCTTCTATTAGCAATAGCAGAAATAGTTACACTACTGCAGCAGCATAATTGCACAGTTTTTCTTTAAAAAAAACCCTGCAATTTCCTTTAAAACTGTCAGGTACAGAAGCTTAATTTAAAACAAGAAGAAACAACTTTTATTATTCTAGAAGTGGACTCACCTGTACTTCACATTTTGGAGAAGAATTCTCATGTAATGCATTTAAAGCATCATGAGCCTTCTGAAGTTGCTCTTGTAGCTGACAAATCTTTTGATCTTTTCTAAGCAACTGATCCTGAAGAGAGGCACAGTTTCGCTGCAGTTGAATTTCACTTGTTTTAACAGTTTCAAAACACGAAGTCAATTCGTTATAAAGCTATGAGAGGGGAGAAGAGAAATAACAGGATTAAAAATAACTTCAATGCAGATAGCCATATAAATACAGGAGGAGAGAAAATATAATTTAAGTAACTTGTACACAAAGACCACCCTCTCTTTTTCACGTTTTGACATTTCTTTCACACTTCTCGTCCTCCTGCTTCGCTCTATACTTTTGAAGATAGTGATTGTAACAATCACTGAAACTTTAAGTTTGAAAGACATTTTTCCAGAAAAACACAACTTACATTAGCATATTATCAGTTTCAGTTGCTTTTTTATGGCATTTATGAATAGAAATGGACACTTAAAAATGAGGATTTATTTTACTTCTTGAACAGTTTATACCAAATACAGAAAATACAAAAGAAAAAAAAATCTCTTATAGAGAATAGGCAAAAAATTGAAACATCTATCCTGGCAATGAAATTAAAGGAGCAAGAATACCAAATACCATCCTTGCCTTTTATAGAATAGTTTGATTTTTCAAAACTAACATTTTTAATATAGCTTGGATAGCAATACAGTGAATCCACTAATGCCTACTGCATTTTGTATGAAGTATAAAATGGTTGTTTAAATAATTATTCTGTGGGAATTTTTTTGACATTAACTATAAAACACTGAGATTATATTAGAAGTTCTTATCCCTGGCTGTTGCTCAACTGTTCTTGCTGCAACCAGAATATTGTATATATTCTGCAATCACTTTAGAAGGGATTCCATACAAACAAAGAATTTCTAGAACTACACCTAAGTAATAACTAGCAGTACATGCCGTCTAACTGACAAAGAGAACTTATTTTGCAAGAATAAGAGAACTTAATAACCACCCCACCCCTCCATTTTTACCTTTCTTTTTCAATATAAACATCTGAAAACTGTTTAAAACAAAATCAGCTTTTTATTAAAAAAATATAAAAACTAGTTCGAAAAATAAACCTGTAGTTGAATAAACAACAGTACAGATTCTGAAGGAAATACATGACTCTACAGCTTTATGACCTAAGCATACATTCCTCTCTCTCTTCATTTCAGTCCTTCATTCCTTTGATTGTCTTTTTTTCTCAAAATAAACAATATTCCCTCCGACTATTTATTCTACCATAAAATAATCTGTAGAAGGCATGTACTTCCGCAGCTGACAGTTTTCTTTGGATAATCCATTTCTGCTATTCCATCCAAAAGAAAGTAACTAAATATGAAAATCAGAATTTCCAAATCTATCAATAATGTTTTTAAGTACTAGGAACTGACACAAGTCATTTTACTTGTAAAAACATTATTTTACTCTTTACTTTACTCTTTGTCTTGTCAGCTATACTTAAATGATACACTTCTTTCTACCTTCCATCTGCTTAAATAGCTTAGAAGTTAAAGCCTCTGAAAAACAATCACAACTTTTAGATTTGGAAACAGTCTACATAACACTTTGTGAGAAATGTGGAAACAATAATCTCCCTTCCTTTCCTTCTTCCTAGCACTTTCTACTCCCATGGGCTGTCAAAATCCACTTAGGACAAAGTAAATTACTTCTTGCCTACTTCCAAAGCAGATCAGAGATCATGTCTCCCAGGCAAAATTAATTCAAAGTCCAGATAGACTGATATTTCAAATGACTCTGAGTCTTAAAAATTAAACTTTTACATTGAAATTTCTGTGCCTACTGAATGTTATTTATTTATTTAAGAAAGCTTACATAATCTCTAGAAATGCAAGTTCAAGATTAGCCAATTTCTTATGGAAATCAGTAAGTATCTCACAGGAAAATAAACAGTTCATTCATTAAAAACATGCATTTTTAGGTAATGTCCTTCCAAACAAATGGAACATCAACACATAGTTACTTCCAGCTATAACTATATAAGCTCATTAGCTAGATCATACTGGTATGACAATTTGCTGGTTTTATGACTAGCAGCACTTAAGTGGTCGTAATTATAGTATCTGAAAGGTAACATCCTAGTAAGATGAATGGAGAACATCAAAAATACGATGCTTTTCCTAGCTGGCAGCCATATCCCCTAATGTAGCTAATGGGTATTTTTGGTAGTCAGCATTTGTCAAGACAAGACAAATAGCATGTCTTTTTACTTGCATAAACTTTTCCAACCTTTCCTGCTTTGAAAACAGCAATAACAAAACACATATTTCAAGTATAAAAGTAGCTATGTGCAAAAAACACATTCACACCATTCATCTTTTTACACTCAGGTTTATATATTTTTTTAAACAACAACAATGTACTAGTTTATAGGACTCAGTTGTTTTTTTTTTTAAGGTATTTAACATTAGGAAATTTCAAAAATGAGAATTATCTGTATGAAAAGAAATAGTTTTATCTACTGTCCACAGATAACTAGAACAGCTTCCAAATTCCCATTTGGCTCCCTATCTTCTCATTTATGGCCATGCACTGTTTTGTGGATTAAATATATGCTTAATGTTTATTTGGGATTATTTTGGGGTTTTCTGCTCATTTCTGACCCTGTGTTAGAAGAGGCAGTACATTTAATCACACTGCAGTAAGCACATTCCAGAACATACAGAATTGCACAACATGGTGAAACAGGTCTATCGTTAATAAAGATACAGAAAGTCACGTGTAGAGAGACAAGACTTAAAATGGAGATCAGAGGACTAGAGATGGAACATTGAGTAGAAAATCCAAAAGAAAGACAAAAATATTGTAAATTATTTATCTCACAACTAGTAAGCTTCACAGAAAAGAGAAGTGAAATCTTGACTGTACATAAGTGAGTGGTTATACCTTACATGAATGTCAACAAGACATGAGATTTACCCAGGAAATTGTTTAATTCCCAAGAAGAGATATAAAAACATATTTATGTTTACAAGATAGAAAGAAAAAAGAAAATATTTAAAATCATTCTTTATACATTTTATGACATTTGGTAGTTGGGGAAAAAAAAAGGCAACAGCCAGCAACACAAGACTGTGCTCTGCAAAAACTGTTGCACTGACTGTATTTTGAGAATCTCTTTCTAATGCCTTAGAGCTGTCCTTTCTCTGACAGGCACCACAGACTGTTACAGGTGAAGATACTTAAAAACAAATAAAAAAAAAAATTAAAAGTATCTGAAATCAGTACACTGTAATAAATTTAGTCTATATGACACAAAAGCATTATTTATCAGGAAGGAAGGAAGAGTAAATTAGCTGAATTACAAAAAATAAAGTATCCCCTATTTCTCAGCTACCTTAACAATTTCCTATATTGATTTAACTGATTTTACCAGAAAACACTTTTTGCTAGATCTTTGAAGAGTTACTTAAAACAGAAAACTTCATTAGAACAATAGGTGTCCTTAATGTCATCAAGTAAGTAACCTAAAAATGCCAGACCAAAGCTATGACTTCCAGGACAACCAAAAGATATGACCCTAACATTATACAAGTGTGTAGGATTTATTTTAAACTAGGTTTAAACTGCTCCTGTGTACTGAATGCCAATTAACAGCTGGGACACATTTTCCAGTTCCAAAATAATTTCCATTTCCATAATCCAAAAGGCATTTAGTTAATGCTCGCATAGACTTTTTCATTATATCAACTAAAGCACAGAAAGTGGGGACATCCGGGAGATTTCCTTCAAAGGTATACTCCTGTGGGAAACTAACACTAAGGTAGATCCATCCATTAAAATGCAACAGTAGCCAATTACATACACTGGGTGTAAAACAAATATTCTCCCACATTAAATGTTTTATCTAAATGCTCACACCCTAAAAAACAGTATATTACAGAGACCTGAGTAAATGAACCCAAACATACAGTAATATTGAACATATAGTAATGACACAAATGGAAAAAAGTTAGTCTAAATTAAGACACAGTAAAACTGTAAGGCAAGCTATTCCAGCACCATCACAGAAATCCACATTAGAAGATCATGCTGCTTATGAGAATTTGAAAAGAACAAGGGCAGAAATCAGCTGGAGAAGCTCTAGGGTGAAACTGAAGAGGCACTCCAGAGAGACTATATACAGCACATTCATGGTGTTTAGTTTCAAAATGGAAAAGCAGAGGTAGAGTGATTTTTTAAGATGAGAGACCATGAAGCTTACTTATGATACAAGAGAAAAATGTCAGACAGAAGTGAGAGGTTAAGAAGAAAAACAAAAGAAAGTACTGAATGGATGTAAGCAACATCAGACAACGTGCAAGCAAGAGTCACTAGTATAAGCTAAAAGAGAAGACATGCTTTCCTCAACTTTATGGTACTATATGATTGCAAATACGACGGTTGCTCTGAAACCATGTAAATGGGTAATTTAGCAATATACCATCTCCAAAATAACAGAAGAGAACATAAAGGAAAAGGACATTTCAGTCTTTTTGATTAGTGTTTTTACTGCAAAAATTCAAACTGATCAGTCTGCCTACTTCAATGAATGCAGTATTTCCTGTTTCCTAACTAATTCCCCACCCCACCCCCCACTAATGTAGCCTTCCAGCATTCATCCATCTAATCAGTTTTGTGCAACTCCTTGTGTTGATACAGCTAGCTAATGGTGGGGTTTGTGGATTGCTTTTTTGAATATATAAAAATTTTGACACATTTCTCCCAGAAAGACTGTGTTTATCAGCAACACCTTCTCTATGAAATGCTACCAAACCCTATTTAGATTTCTTCTCTCTATATAGTGTACTGTCAGAGAACATTCAGCAGGCTTGTGAAGAACACCAGTCCTAGTTAATGCACAAAAATGTTATTAAGTCATACTGCAAACAGTATCATTTAAAATCCTCCACTGTGGGACCAATATGATTATACACAAATTCAGATATATTTAAATCTTATAATTCTAACTCAGATCAAAATTGGCATTACTCAAAAAAACATTTAAGATTAAGTAAGCTTAATCTTCAGATTTTTCATCCTTTCTTGATGTACAACTCCTATTGCACTGTCTCACCAGTTTACATAATTTCTTTCATCTACAGGTCTCATATTGTAAAAAAATACACTATCATTGCCAGAAACATTAAGACAATGGTTTGCAAACATTAGTGACAGATTTAGAATCATAGATTTTTTGCTTTTTTTTTCCAAATATTTAAGCATTATGCAGATACCAATCTAGAGCATTACACACAGGAACTATAGCACACTAAGAACATCAGTACAGGGTTTTTCAAGGATGAAAATCATCACCTGTGAGTGCAGAGTTTAACATCACCCTGAGAGAACCAAAGTCTACCCAGGATTTCTTCAGCTATAACCTATGGGCACGTCTGATGGCAAAATCTACTTGCTATCATGTGACCAACTGTACTGGTGTTTGGTATACAAGAAATAGACTAACCTAATTAACACACTTCCCAACAATGGAAAACAGTATCAAAGCTTGAACTAAAGTGTGCGGTAATCTTTATTAAAGACCTGAGCTTCTCGCAGCTTTCACAGACGAAGTGGACTACAAAGATGGTGATTCACTTATCACTGATGTGGACTTCAGCATATTTGACTGGACAGTTAGTTTCTCTCAGCTCTTACCATATGTGAAAGAACTTATGTTTTTCATTCCAATTTTAGGGGGAACCTGCATTGTTACTACCATTTACACATCTATATGGTTTTAGTTTTTATTTTGTGAATTTAATGCTGTTTACATAAAAATAAACACATTTATGTGATTTTTAACTGTGCTTAAAGGTTGTTGCAGTTGCAAAAAAGATTGGAAGTGGTAAAATTTAACCTTAGGATGGCAAAGCCAGTAACTTGACATTCTGATTACAATTTCTCAGGCTTGAAGGAAAGCAAACTATCTCCACACACTGACACCATGAGAAGGACTAGCAAAGGCAACAGCAGACACAAAATTAACCACATCTGAAAATATATCTGATGCTATCCTATTTTTATCTACTTTCTGGTACACTTGATGCAGACTTCTGCAATACCTCATAATTGAAAATTCTTACTGTGTTTTCCAATTATGCCAAAAATCTAACTATTGAGCAATGCTTTTCTTCATCACAGACATGTACTGTACCACTATCCACAGTATTTCCCATTTATTGTTCCAGGAGCCACATTCTAGGACACTAATTACGATTTCCTAGTTAATGACAAATAATGGTATTTCCACTTCACTAAAAGGGCCTTCCACTAAGAGATTTTTAATCAGTATGATTAACAAGGAACCTAAAGGCCACATCAGATCAAGGGAAAGTACTACATTATAAAAACAAAGGCCCTAAATTGTAAATTTCAGAAAACTGTGATAAGCTGGCTAAAGGAGTTCAGAATCTCTTCTTGTCTTATTATCCCTAGTATTGATTGAAGTCTCTCCACCTTGAAATTGTTGGTGAGGACAAATCTATTGAGTCTCATTAAATCCAGCACAGGAATGAAGTCCCCGGAGCATTTGGGACCACTAAAACAGATGCTATACATTTTAGAAAAATATTCCCTATCCTTGAGAATGAGAACTACAGCTGCAGTATGAAATAGGTATCAATTTGTTTCCATAAATGCTCTAACGTAAAGGAGTTATTGTAGAACACAGCACCCTTAAAATTTGTACTTAAAGAAAAAAAAAGGTAGCAGTATGACAAGTCAATGCAACTTGATAAAACAGATTACAGATCTTCACACATGTATGCTGCCCACTTCAGCTAGACTTGGAAGAGAATTTGTGGTCCTCAATGGATTTACACATAATCCTGTGCAAGTTCATGACCTTGATCTGGTTTATCAGAAATGGTTTTTCTTTTATTCAGTCTATTGTTTCGTACTACACATTAACACCAGCACAAAGAGCGGTTCTTCCTAAATGGTAGACTGTTAAGATGAACTTGGAACATGTGAGCCAACCACATTGCCTGAGCTATAGCATATACTGCCTATCTGACCACTAACGGAGAGGTCATTGATCTTGCTGTGAGGGACAATATATCATAGGAGGTACACACTGATAGGCTCAATGCCATTCGCAGCAGTAGGAAAATATTCCTTTGTGAATGTATCTATGGAACAGCTGACACATCCTTATCTAGCTATTGCAGCCCGCATATTATTAATGCGTGGAAAACAAACACAACACACATTTGTCTGCAATAGTTTGCCTTTCTCATTCAATGGAAAAATAGGCATTTGCATTATTTTTATAGGTGCTGAGTTTTCCAAAGGCCTGCTGTGACTTCAGTAGGACTGCGTACCTTGTGATTTGAAAAATGCATGTTACTTTGAAGCAATTACAGTTGGGTATTTTATACAGTTGTTCTAATCAGAAGTATAGAACAGGATTGTCATGATAAAGGAAATCCTTTTTGCCTCCAAAGTTCTCTCAACTCAATTTGCCACAAACATGATTAGATCTATTCTACTCTGACTTAGAGACCGTAACTTTTTTTTAATATATACTTTTTTTTAAAACATATTTTTATGAAAAAACAAAAAGTACATATTTTTTCCAGGTGCATTAGATATTTTGATATTTTACAAAAGACAGTTTATCATTTCCACAATAGTAATTTGTCAGAATATTTGAGTTAGCTTTTGCTGGTTTAAGAGGCAAACCTCACTCCTCCATGTTGGAAAAATATTGAATTCAACACCTCTAAACCAGCAAATTTTAGGGTCATCTGTGAGTTGAAGTATTTGGCAGCTACCAAACAAAAAGAGCTAATCTTCAAAACCACACTATTGTTGTTCTTGCTGTATGATCAGCTAAGCAGAAGTCTTAAGTCCTGCTAAAACAGACCAAGAACTGTGAACCAGCTTTCTGAAACAATCCTGAATTTTGAGCCAAGCCCAGTTTAGAAGCAGCTTGACCCTATAAGCTATGTAAGTATACCCATCAATTTTCCATAATACATAAGTAACTTATAATAGCAAAATTACTTTTCATAGGACAGGTTAAACTCTTTCTGAAACTGAAGTAATACCAGCAAAATCACTATTATGCAAGGCAAATTGACCTTTATAAAGAGTTTTGTCATGCTTTAAAACAGCCTCATGAAAACCCAGTTTTATTTTCTTTCATATGTTGTAGAACTATTCTGCAAGAATATTGTCTTATAAACACTGATGAAGAGAGTTCATATTATCTTCACTTGTGCCAATTTTTTTTTTTTTTTGAGTGACTCAAAGGATCCATTTAACACCTATAAAACCATTGACTGGAGAATGAAACATGAAGGAAATACCACCTCCTGATACCTACATTCTAGGTTGTTTGTTTTTTTTTTAAATTCTATAATTTACTTTGTCTTGCCCCAAATAGGTAGAACTCCCCCTGCCTTGTACATGTTCTGAACAACTTTGATGGAAGTCTACGTGTAGCTTTGCTGGGCTACTACTGTAGTGAATAAAAGACTCAATGTCTATCATCACTGCAGTCAATGATAAACTTGTGCAGAGTTAAGTACACAAGAACGTGCTGGGCACTATGTGCTATAAAATGTTAACCAAACACATCTTTAGAAACCCAGTACTGATTCTGGTTTGACTTAGGCCCAGCTTCTTAATTTTATCACAAACTGCATACTCTAAGTAAGATGATAAAGGGAAACACCTATTTTTTGAAAAAGCACTGACAGTACACCATTTGAGAAAACAGTTCCAAGACTGGTAGAAGGTACGTGAAAGTTGTCTATGCAACTTCTTCCTTGTCTTCTTCCTTCTCAATGTTTCTAAAAAGGAAGGAAACATATCTTCTGTATTTCTTACAGACTGTAAATACATCCATATAATTTGTTACACACAAAAGGAGAAGTTCTGAGTAGCGCACATTACAGCTCTTCAGGGTTAGCATTTTTCCTGGCATTCATCAAAAATACCATTCTGTTCTGTAAATGTAAAAATTAGTTAAAAATTTCTGAATTAGTTATCCATTTTAAAAGCTATTACGGCAACAATTTTTCCAGTTAATTTTGATAGAGCAGGTTTTTGCATCTTAAACCAGTAAATTTGTTTCAGATTCATATAAATACATTATTTACAAGTGAAAGGAATTTCTTTTCCTAAATTATCAAAAACAAATTGGAGAATTTAGTAATTGAAAGCTCTAGGAGAAGAAGAAAAAGAAAAACATAGATAAAAAAAAAATACATAAAGGAATTTATATGCTTGGCAATTCACTCCTATTTTTCTTCAGATGCAACTAAATCTTAATTTTTAAGGCTCATCAATTCAATGTAAGCAAGGGGCTTATTTTGGTAACAATAAAGATCCAAAGATCTAAAGGATGCAACACTACACAGTGCTTTGATTACTCTGTCCGTTGGTATTGTACAGATGGATATTAAAATGAACCCTGTGATCATAAAGCAGAACGACATACTTTTTCATATGATGTTGCTTCAGCTGTGTGAGCATCTTCTTGGTCTTTCAGTACTTTTTGTGTATCAGTATTGAGAGCCTGAAGCTGCTTTATCAGCTCAGCCTGCTGTGCTGTATGTTTAATGTTTTGTCTGTAAAGATTCTGCATCTCCTGTAACTCCTTCCTGTGCAAAACAAGCAATAAAGAGAAATTAAGAAAAAGAACAATGACCTCCATTAAACAATTGTGTTCAAATAATTTTATTGTAGATAATGAGCTTCCTATTTTCATTTATTTTTCTGTCAATTGCCTTATAAACACCAGAAGTTACATATAAAATGTTTATCACATACTTTTGTGAAATATCTACAAAACAGTTAAGTTTCAAAATTGAATGCCTTTTAATTTCCCTCTAATGCTCTAACTGCTCTAAAATAAATGGATTTTCACTACTGCATCAACACTTTCTAATCAATATTCAGTTAACTCTTTAGCAGTAAGTGTCAAAATGTAAAATATTTAGAACGCATGGACTGTAAAATAACTTTAATCTTTTTTTTTTTAACTAGAACCATCAGAAAAAAGATACAAGTTTTTCTTAACTTGCAAAGTATGTGTAATGCAAATCTCTTTTCTGAAATGCATCTACTCCCTAGACACACGAAGTATGTCTCCTGATAAATTACTTTTTGTCTGCAGGTACAGCATACTGCAACAACCATAAGCAAAGTAAGTAAACTTCAGTGTGTATTATATAACAATAAAAGCTCTATAACCACAATAATAGGAATCATGTTGTAACATAACCATAGGATAGATCTAGTATAATCAGTCTGCTTGAGAATTTTACTGTACTGCTGATAGATCTTATAAATTAAGGCGGAAACGAAGAATCAGTAACTCCTACTTATTAAAAACAATGATTAAAAACTTGGAATATTTTCTGTAACACATGTTAATAGTTCAGATGACTCCATTAATCCCTTTTTTAATATTTTCTACTTAATTCCCTGTTTAATTCACAAGCACAGTTCACACTAGTATTACATACAGATACTGAAATATAAGTTCATCACTCCAACTAATTTTCTTCCTTACTTCCTCAAAGAATTTTCTTGGTGACCTCCAACACATATGTGACTTCTCTGTGCCTAGAATTATCATTAACAAGAGTTATCATTACATTTTTATGATACTGGTGGAGATGTCCAGTCAAAGATTAGCATACAAAGGTAAGCAGCAATACCAACTTTGTTGTGTTTTCCTGAGAAATCGCAGAATGACAAAGAAAGCATTTTAAGGGAACTTTCCAAAAACCATTTCTTAAGACCTGTGCCACAACTTAGTATGTTGATTATTCACTACAGGTTCAACATCTGAATAATTACATAAAAATTGAAATTACATATACCACAATAGCACAGTCAGACAACAATGTTGTTAAAAAAGCACTGATTAAAAAAGCCTGTTCACAGACCAATACAGGAGAACACTTAAGGACATGCTTACTTAACAGTATTTAAATCCTACAGTTCTCAATGAGGTGTAAAATAGCTCCTCAAAATTAACAATGGTAGAGGTACATTAAGGACTCTTTATGTAACAAAACCAAAGTACAACTGCAGTATGTACTTCATATGTACTAATTTAATTCTCCTCACAAGCACAGCAGCAGAAATAAGGACACAGTGATATATTAGCACTTTCCGACACCCTGTACAACAGGCTTCCAAACAAGCACTTGCTTCATTTCCCTGACTGTGTGTATATACTAGAAAATGACACATCTTTGCACTGCAGTTACAACACAGACTATATTAATTTTACACAGGTTCTCCAATCAGATCTTCATTTTGTTGTGGAAGGGAAAAACATGGGATAACGTTGAATCCTCAAATACTGTTGGATATGTTGGTAGTAACTGTTGCCAAGACCACTCTGCTATATTGCTGCTCTTTAATTTGTATGCAAACATCAATTCAGTTATCTGTGTCTGTCACCTGAGAATGCACAGTATTATATGTTCTCTAATGGTCTGCCCACAAAGTGTATTAAGGTCAATGGGAATCTTTTTTGTTGACTTTATCAGGCTTTGAGTCATAGCCTAAAGGGGAGGGAATGGAGGGGGGGGGCGGGGAAGCTAAACCTTGCAGCCACCCAAGAATTGCAACACAGTCAGAACACGTTAACTTCTGTGCTAATGTTAAATTCAAGGATTTTTGAATATAAGGAAACTCACAGTTCCATTACACCACATTTTAAAAATCAAACTTTATTTCTTCATGCACATATCCTAACTTGCTTTATTTTTCTTTTTTGAGTAAAAAGTTATACAAACCAAAATAGTTGCAATCTGAAAAATTCTTGAGCCACGGAAATACACAACCACTGTATTTAACTTGCAGTTGTGTGTTACAGCTGCTTTTATCCTCTTTAGTGAATGAAGTACTATTTTCACATTGTAAATCCACAAGGGGAACCTTCTTTTATTTCATTTTTACACAGGAAGGAGATGATGTCCAATCTTACCAGGAATTATTCAGCATCAGTGGTGCAATACAAATAAATTCACAGAATGAAGCACCTTTGATAACAGAAAGGCCAACTTGGTGAGGGGAGCTGTAAACTAGGAATGGCAGGCAACAGAGATGTTGACCAAGCAACAAGTGAGGGAACTGTGGCCTGGGCTGGCAAGCAAAGGGCACAGGCTGGTGTGGACAGGAAAGACCTTGTGATGAACAATACAAGGCTCAGGGAGGACCACCTCAAGTGTATGCACATAAATAAGGGAGTGCTGACAGGACATCTGTATGGTAGAGGTTCTTAAGACTCTTCCTGGGAAATAAGCACAACTGGGTGCCCATCTGAAGTTGCTGTTCAAATGCACACAGCATGTCCCCATTGAGGATGACAGGAGGAATTAGAGAGCTGTCTGCAGTTGCAGGGCTCATTGGGTTCAAGGAGACAAGGTGGGATAACTCACATGACCGCAGTGCTGCCATGCACGGATACAGGCTCTTTAGGAAGGACAGGCTGGGATGGCAAGAAGTTGCCCTTTAAGTGAAAGAGTATCATAGAATCATAGAATAGTTTGGGTTGGAAGGGACCTGTAAAGGTCATCTAGTCCAACCCCCCTGCCGTGGGCAGGGACATTTTCAACTAGATCAGGTTGCTCAGAGCCCCGTCCAACCTGACCTTGAATGTTTCCAGGGATGGGGCATCCACCACCTCTCTGGGCAACCTGTGCCAGTGCTTCACCACCCTCAGCGTAAAAAATTTCTTCCTTATATCTAGTCTAAATCTACCCCCCTTTAGTTTAAAGCCATTCCCCCTTGT